ACATTACCCATGAATTAAAACAAAAAAAAGAAAGAAAGAAATCAGAAATCATTTAACTGAATTTATTTACTTTTTTGTAAAAAAAATTTTTTTTGACATTTCTTTATTTTTGAGAGAGACACAGTGTGGGCAGGGCAGGGGCAGAGAGAAAGGGAGACAGAATCCGGAGCAGGCACCAGGCTCTGAGCAAGCTGTCAGCACTGAGCCCGACACGGTGCTCGAACCCACAAACCACGAGATTGTGACCTGAGCCAAAGTTGGACGCTTAACGAACTGAGCCACCCTGGCGCTCCTGAACTGAATTTAAACACACACACACAGGGGCGCCTGGGTGGCTCAGTCGGTAAAGCGGCCGACTTCGGCTCAGGTCATGATCTCGCGGTCCGTGAGTTCGAGCCCCGCGTCGGGCTCTGTGCTGATAGCTCAGAGCCTGGAGCCTGTTTCACATTCTGTGTCTCCCTCTCTCTGACCCTCCCCCCCGTTCATGCTCTGTCTCGCTCTGTCTCAAAAATAAATAAACATTTAAAAAAATATATATTAAAAAATAAAATAAAAAACACACACACACACACACACACACACAATATACCAGAATACACAGAGATTGTGCTAATAAACGAGTATTTAGGAGGAGATTTATAGAAATAAATGGCCACCTCAGAAAAGAAATGCCTCCCATCAATGAGCTCAGCTTCCATTATAAGACGCTAGAAATAAAAATTAAACCCAAGTAATGAAGAGAAAGTAGATTATAAATATCAGAAAAAAAAACAATGAAACAGGAAGCAGAAAAATGATGCAGAAAAATCGATGAAACCAACTACCACTTCTTTCAGAAGATCAACAAAATTGACAAACCTCTACACAGATTCATGAGAGGGGGGAAAAAAGCTATGAATTACCAGTAATAGTAAGAATGATGCGGCATAGCTACAGATCCTACAGATGATAAAAGAATAAACAGAGTTTTATGAGCAATTCTACACGATAGAGTTGACACTTGAGATGAAGTGGACCAAATCTCTCTTTGTGAGACACAAGTAACCAAAACTATCTCAAGAAGAAATGGACAACCTGAGTAGGCCTACATTAAAAATCAAACTGGGGAGGGCGCCAGGGCGGCTCAGTTGGTTAAGCACCAACTCTTGATTTCAGCTCAGGTCGTGATCTCGTGGTTTGTAAGTTTTGAGCCCCACATTGGGCCCCATACTGACAGCATGGAGCCTGCTTGGGATTCTCCCTCTCCCTCTCTCCACTCCTCCCCCGCTCATGCTCTCACTCTCTCTCAAAAAAAAAAAAAGGTAGCTGAAAACTTTCCTTCAAACAAAACTCTTAGGCCTGAAGGGCTTCACTTCCTTCATTTCTTCATCTAAAAAAGAAACGATGGCCTCTTCAAAAAGAATTAACAGAGGAAATACACTGAAAACTATAGACCAACATCCCTCATGAACACAGATATGAATACTTTAAACAAAATTCTGGCCAATCTAATCCAACAACTAATCAAAAGTGTATTACATCATGACCCAGTGAAGCTTATCCCAGCAATATAAGGTGGATTATATACAATCAATGTAATTCATCGAACACACTAAAAGAAAAAAAGTATGATTATCGCCACAGATGGAGAAAAAAGGCATGATAAATGCCAAAAACCACTCCTGATAAAAACTCTCAGCAAATCCTAACAGAAGGGCACCTCACGAACCTGATAAAGGTCATATACGCAAAACCACACTAACATTACACTTACTGGTGAAATGGCACGTTTCACCCCTACGATCAGTCAGAGGTTTGCACTCATGATCTGTTCACTGTTCACCTTTGTAATGAAGGCTGTAGCCAGGGCAACCAGGCAAGATAAAGAAATATAAGGCACCAGATTGGATAGGAAATAAAACTGAATGTTTTTAACAAATAACACGACTGTCCATGTAGAATATACAATGGAATCCACAAAAAGTTCCTACAACTAGGAAGTGAGCTTAACACATTTCCAGAGTGTATCAATTCACAAAAATTAATTATATTTCTAACTGGTATAAAAATTCCAAATTAAATTTTTTTTAAAAATCTCTTACGACAGCACCCCTGCCCCCCAAAAAAATGAAATACTTACGGATAAACTGGACGAAAGACAGGAAAGACCAGTACACTGAAAAGTAAAAATGTAGCCAAGAAAAATTACAGAAGACCTAACCAAGTGGGGAAGTGTAACAGCTCATGTGCACTGCACTGAGACGTCAAGTTTCTCCAAGTGACCTACAGATTCAGTGCAATCCCAATGAGCATCTCAGCATTCTGAAGACATTGACCAGCTCAGCCTAACCGGTATGGACATAAAAAGGAACTAGAAAAGTTAAAATAATTCTGAAAAAGAAAGCTAACACCACCTGTTTGTAAGAATTATTTACAGTAATCAAAACAGGGGGCACTATTTTGAAAACAGATTTAACAGATGGAACAGCAGAGTGCCCAGAGATGAACCCACACGTAGGGACAAATGATCCTGACGACAGCCACAGACAGCCCAGGGGAGAAGAGGGTCTTTCCAGCAAACGGTGCTCTAATAGCTGCACACCCACACATGGGGGAAAGAAACAACTCTGCTGTCTACCTCACACCATATACAACAACTGACTTAAAATGAGCCACAGACCCCAAAAATGTGAAACTTAAAACTACACAACTCCTGGGGAGACACCTTTGTGACTTCGGATTCAGCTTAGATTTCTTAGATACAAAACCAAGAGCAAGACCATAAAAGAAAAAAGACCTGATAAACTACACTATAGACCAAATTTAAAACTTCTGCTCTTCAAAAGACACTGTTAGGAGAACAAAAGACAAGCCACAGACTGAGAGAATGTATTTGCAAATTATACACCCGATAAGGACTTGTATCCAAAATGTATAAAGAACTCCCAAAAGGCAATAGTAAAACCGAATAATGAGCAGACAACTTGAACAGACCCTTCACCAAAACAGGCATATGTAGAAGATGTTTGACACCATTAGTCATCAGGAAATACAAACTAAAACTAAAATAAGATTCAACTACCTACCTTCTGAATGACTAAAATTAACAAGACTGACCACACGCAGCATCGGTGAGCATGTGGAGCAGCTTTGATCTGCTGTGAGCACGACTGTGGACAAGCACACAGAGGTCCACTATGAACCACAGCTCTACCACCTTTTCAGAAGATAAACCTACCAGATGACCCATCTGTTCCATTCTTACGTATCTACCCAAGAGAAATGAAAACATCTGTCCATACAAAGTCTTGTGTTATAAACGTTCATAGGAGCTTTATTGGTAATAGCCAAAAACTGGAAACAACCCAAATATTCACCACCAGGTGAATGGAAAAACAAATGGTGGCATATAATGGAACGGAATAAATACTGCTCCGCAATAAAAGGAAATGACCGATGAATGTTACAACGTGGTTAAATCTCAAAATTAGTAAGCCAAGTAAAAGAAGCCTGACAAAAAGAACACATGACGTAAAACTCTATTTACATAAAGTTCTAGAAAGTGCCAAGAGTGACAGAAAGCAGATCAGTGGTTGCCTGGGGCAAAGAGAGGACACAGGAAGCTTTCAGTGGTGACGGATATGTTCATGATCTTGATGGTTTTACATGTGTATACACATCTTACCGAATCTGGTAGAGAAATCAGTGTGGAGTGGAAGAGTCAGCGAATCAACTCGATAGTGCACCCAACACCGTGCTCCAAACTAGGGAAAATAAAACTTACAGACAAGCTGGGATGCACTCTAAACACGTGATGTTTATCGTACATCAATTATGCTTCATTAATGCCCTACGCCCCCAAAAGCAAAGAGGAGGAAAGGGCTGGGGTCCATGGAGAACAGAAGGTGTAAAATAGCTGTCCAGGGGTTCAACCGCACCGTAGCCTTGGCCACGCCAAGGGCTAGCCGGGAGTCTGTGACCCCGAACCGACGATGAGAGCATTCCACGTGCTACCCATTTTGTTCAGCCACCTGCGCCCACCTGCTCAGGGGTCAGCACGTGGCAGGTAGAGAGCTGACGCAAGGAAGTAACCGAGGAGACGCTCTGGGTGCTGCAGGCGGAGCCAGATCACAGCGGGGGCCACCAGCAACAAGTGCCAGCAGCCACAGTGCAGTCGCGATGTGCCCGGGGCTCACCCTCCCCTGGAAACACACACACACACACACACACACACACACACACACACACGCTGCTGGACTATGGAAGTCTGATAAGCAAGACGTGCAGTGAGTTGTGTTCACAGATCGCCTCCCGGTAAGAATGCGGCAGCGGCGCCGAGGGAAGGGGGCCCTTCTCTAGCTCAGGTGTAGCTCCAGACAGTCACCCGGGACACCAGATGCACTCATGGTGCGGTGCGTCTGCTCCGCTCTACCAGATTCCCAGTAGATAATCTAGGGGAGTTATTTCTCCCACTCTGGTGGCCCCATCCAATGGTTAGTGAGGAGAGAGTGGCCTGCCCCACAGTCTGCTGGCACTCTGAACTGTGAGTCGTCTCTTAGATGACAGTGGAATCAAAATTGGAGGTGAGCCATCCATGCCCCATCACCCCTGGGTACTTCTACACTGGCCACATCCTGGCCCCAAAGAGAACTGCTCTGTTCCTTCTTCTGAAAACAACCTTCAATACTCCCTTCCGCGGAAAACCAACTTCCTTTGGGGCTGACTCTCTATTTCAATACTCACGTTCCTTTTCTGTACTTCTACCAACACCTGGACCTATGGCCCATCTTCTGCTTCTCCTGATTAAACCAGACCCACCTTTCAGGAACTGCTCAGATCTTAAATGCCTTGTGGCACCTTGCCAACCAGAACTCATCTCTGTATCCAGAAAAGAGGGAGTTCAAAGTAGAATCAAAGGAAGCAGTGAAAGGCAACAACGTTTAGAGGAAGATTTAAGAAGCTCAATTTTAAAATACACAGTCCTCAGTGTATATAAAAATGAATTCACGAAAGAGCTTTACCAGTCTCGCTGTTTTCCGGCGGAGATTCATACTCTGAGCGGTCCAGAGCCGACGTGCTCACAGCTGGTCGGTCCGGCTCCTGCAAATCCGACAGCGCCACACTCTCATGACCTTTGTCACCATCACCATTGGCATCCAATCCTGGAATTAGGAATATTACCCCAAAGGGCAGGATTAGAAGAATAAATTTCTCTTAAAACAAAACAAGCAAAACACAGGCTTAACAGTTGCAGTTACTTGAGTTTTTTTAACTTGATTGTGACAGATCTCTTGGCTCTTAAATACAGTAACAAACCAGGACACAAATCTTAATTGGTAATTTCTTAAAGACGGGTTAAATGGGAACAAAGACCAAGCCTTGAGGGCAAAGGCCCTCCTCAGCACCAGCAGGCTCCAGACTCACCCTCCTGGCCGCAGGCTGTGCAAGGCCCAGCCGGCTCCTCCCAGTTTGCACTCACACCGCCATCCGCCGCACTGCCCGCTTCCAAACGCAGCACGGGGGTCCCCCACACTTTAGCATTAGGGTTTAGCTCTGAAACCTTGGCTGTCGGTACCTAGGGGAAAATGCAACATATACATTTGTATCCCAATTCTAAACAAACACAATTTTACTCATTAATTTAGAGCTTAAACGCCTCTACATGAGAGAATTACACGTGCAAAGTAACAAAGTTGATGCACTGAGCTGGGCCTCATTCACCATCAGGTTCCTCATTTCCTACTAAGTGCAGGCTCTCGAGAAACTACAAATGAAAGACGAGGTCCCCAACTTCATGAAGATTCAATAAATAACTGGGGATCCAACAGTCATCTCTGTTCTAGACAACCCAACACAATTCACAGATTTACAAAGACGAACAGAATGTAGATGGATAAAGTTCATACGTCACAGACCTCACTACCGTCCCTCGGCATTTACATGTTTTCGGTCTGTTTTTTTCTTTTGTCTTAACCCCTGCCCGTCTCTCTCCTAGTCCAATGCCACTGTAGAGCCTGGGTGCCGAGCAGACTCTCCACCGTGCAACCACACACATCCAGCTTTCCCACATTACTGTATTCAAGCCACCAAACTGGCCCCCTGAGCTCGTGTACACACTGCATGCTCTCTAAGGTCTTACCACTAACCTGGGTCTCCCCCGCCGGTGGCACCCATGCAGCTAACTGCCCCGAGCATTCCCAACACAGACCCATGTGGTCCTAGGAGCGCGGCGCCCGGAGGCAACACACTCGCAGCCACTGCGGTGCTCCTCTTGCTACAACACGTCTGTCTGGCCCACGAGCCCACATAAACTCCTGTATGTCCCTTTGGTTGGCCACTGTATCGCTCATATCTGGCAGCCCTGACCTCAGGACAGACGTGCCCGAGAAATACGCTGAGGAACGAATGTGTCATACACAACACAAAACTTGCATGTTCCACTATCCAAGGAATTGTGCAAAGTCTTAGGCCACAACTGAGGGGAAACCTATCCTTATGTAATTTACTACTCCTTAAGCAGTAGATGCTCAAATCCAAATCAAGTGTTAGGAACTTAACACAACTTCAGGCAGTTAACCAGTATTCAAGCGATCCTCTTGAGTGACAAGGGACGAAAGAATGGAGACGTGTGATCAGGAGCAGATGACAGGAAGACTACCTCTGAGTCTGCTAGATGCCAGGTGCACTCTATGCACCTTCCTGGGCTTCATCGCAACAACCCTGACGGTCTCACAAGTAGGAGACCAAGGCAGACAGAGGTGAAGCAACCTGCTCACAAAGAGAGTAAGCAGAAGACCGTCCTAACCCCGGCAAAAACGCAACACTGTCAAGTGTTCATTACCGTCTTGTAATTCACATGAAGGACAGCTTGCCCCCGTTGTATGTGAGGCGTGGGGCTTCTCCTGCAGTCACGTGGGACTCTCAGTGCCTGTCGACAACTCACGCTTCACCTGCTTGGCTACCTGTCTTGCTTCTCCACTGAAAATTCAGGGCCAAGCAGTGGTTATTAAAACCAAACGTGAGCTGACCTTAACAGCTGCGTCCTGAGGCGACTTCACATAAATGACCAACACCACTCTTTCCGAGTACAGCATCCACAAATCCTGACGCTCTAAAGAAACTCAACCCCCCAACGCTAGGCTCCATAAAGCAAACCTACTGATTCACACACCTGTGTGTTCTGGACAGGAGAAAGCACGGCCCCACCGATGGCCTCCCGAGTAGGGAGTGAGGGTAACTAGGATCAGAAAAGGGAAAAGGATTGGGGATAAAGTATAAAGTAGGTGACACGGTGGGGAAGGAAAGCGGCCAACCCTTCATCTCAAATTAGCACCGCCCGCTCTTCGATCGGCCGCCGAACCATCACTCGGAGCAGCCCACTGGCTTCTGAAGTGTCTGCCCCTCTGGTTCTTCCACCTGCAAACTGGACCCGGATGAGAAAGACGTGCACCTGGGCACAGAGACAAGAAGGTCCGAAGAGAAAGCCCCACGTTAAATGTACTCGAACTAGGAGCCCACCCAGACACACGTCACAGCTGAAGAGCCGCTTCGGAGCAGGACACACAGACCTCACAGGAAGGGCAGGCGGCCCCAGGGTCTGCGTGGGCACCACACTGGACCCCGGCACGTGGACCCCAGCAGCTGACCGGCAAGCACGCCCGCTTTCGTACACAATCATGTGTGTATCACTCAAAGGCCGAATTTTCTAGTGTTTTGCCTCCACAATTCAAGAAGTGAGCAATTAGTTGCATGTAACTCTTTCTGGCAAAACTCCCAAATGTGGGAATGGAAAGGAAAGAGAGAGGGTTAATGGTTAATTCCCTAAGTAGTAGGGTTAAATTTATTCTTATTTTCACATCATTGGCATTAACATTTGAACCACATCTATCTCCTTACTATCATCAATCATTTTTCTTGCCTAATGCAACAAAAATCACTAATAATAAACTAGTATCAAGAAGACAAGTAACAAATGTTGGCGAGGATGTGGAGAAAGAGGAACCTCGTGCACTGTCGGAGGGAATGTAAACCGTGCAGCCGCCCTGGAGAACAGGCTGGAGGTTCCTCAAACAACTGAAAATAGAAACACCAAATGATCTAGCAATCCCACTTCTGGAGATTTACCCTGAGGAAAACAGAAATACTAATTTGAAGAAAATATAGGCACCCGTGTTCACTGCAGTATTATTTACAGTGGCCAAGATATGGAAGCAACCTAAGTGTCTCCTGATAGATGAACAGATGAGAGGTTGTGTGTGTGTGTGTGTGTGTGTGTGTTGTGTACATACACAGCGTAAAGGGTCTCTAACACCCTGCCATCTGTGACAACATGGATGCACACAGGGAGCATTATGCTAAGTGATGTAAGTCAGACAAAGATAAATACCATATGACCTCACTCATATGTGGAATCTAAGAACAAACAAAGAGACCGAGCTCACAGAACAAATTGGTGGCTGCCAGAGGTGGGGATGGGGGTTGGGAAAATGGGTGAACTGTTTTTTGTCTCAGTTTAAACAAGCTGAATCTATAAATAAATATACGTAATATATACTTATTTATTTTATAAATAATTCTACAAATATTATAAATTGTAAGTTATAAGTATTTTATAAATAATAATATATATATTTATAAATAAATAGAAATGAGATTTGCTGTTAGAAACACACCTCTCAATTATGCATGTCCAAAAAGACTGCTTTAAGGGCAAGAGTAACTTCATGTTTGTTCAATGTTTGCACTTAGTACAGACTGTCTGCAAAGACACTCAAATTAGCTGCCCATTACAGCAGCTTCTATGAAGCTTCTTCCAATTGAGCAGGGCCTGCCTGGGCACCGTGGTCGGAAAGCCCTTGCAGGTGCTTCCAACTGACAGGAGACATTTCAGAGCCAGGTAAAGCAGCAAATTTGACCTGCCTCGTGCAGGTACCATACAAAAGTAAGAGAAAGCATAGGTTTTGAGTCTTCTATACTGTCCAAGTGCGGCCTTTCAGAAATGACGTTAAAATTCAACGGGCAGATGTCTACCCTGCACCAGTCAGGCGGTGTGAGGAAGGACAGAGGCCGCACAGGCTCAGGTGCACACACAAAACATCCACACACAGAAGGGGGGCTGCACCAAGCTGCGACTGATGGCCAGCAGCGCTGGGTTCAGTGCTGACAAGAGCTGACGCACAAACTCTGGCTTAAATACACTGAACAGTAAACTGAGTCACGCTCTCCAGTTTGAAAATGGTTAAGCTGATGCTACAGTAACTCATAGCCTCATAGGAACATTCAAATGACTGCTCATTGCTTAAAAAAAAACAACAAACTCAGTGACAGTTAAAAGCAATCAAAACAAAACGCTAGCATTTCCCAGCACCATAATAAAAACTGCTAAAACATACTTACTAAATGTCCGCCTCTATTCTGCCATCCCCAAATCGCAGCGTCTTCTGCCACTGGTAGCTGATATGGGGGCTTCTCCATCCAGAACAAAGCGACCTCTAAGTCTGGCGGCTTCCTGTGCAGACACTCATCAGGCATCTGCTCCTCTTCTAAAGCGTCTTTCCCAACTGCACGAGCCCACGGACAGCCCTCTGGATAGCTGGTGCAGCCGTGAGCCAGTCCTCCGGAAAACGTCTGACTCGCAAACCCTCCCACTGGGTAACAGGTGAGTCCACTCGAAAACTGGGAGCACCATCCCTGTGGGAAGCCCTGCAACCCTCCTCTTGCGAGACTTCCAGGTATCGTCACGGCGTCTTCTGTGAGTGACAGAACGTGGTCCCCACAGTGTGGTGCCAGCATTTCTGCACCGCCACCTGGGATGGCGGGAACGACCTGTAGCGCCTGGCGAGGAGGGTCTGTGGATCTGTCCACGTGGGCAGGATCAACACCGATCACACAGGAATATCCCTCAAGAGTCTCACCTAACTCCGTTTCTCCAAAAGTCACCTGAGGGCTTCCCACAAAAGCCACTCCGCTGCCAAATGCAGGGCCATCAAACGTGGGCTCGGCACCTCTTAGCTGCAGACAGGGTGCACGCATGCTTGTCCCGCGCCTGTCGAGGCTGCCCGTCTCCCCTCCCTTACCTGCTAGTGCTGGCCTGCTTGTCCCCGACGTGCTGCCACCCGAGGTGTCAGAACCTTCCTGCGCCAACTCTGAGAAACGCTGCTCCGGTCCTGGTCCCGCATTTTCACCGCTGTTAGCAGAGTCCTTCTCTTCAAGTACTTGTGACCTCTGCTCACCTGAACTTGAACTCTGGTGTAGACGTGGCACAGGATCAAGAACTTCACGTCTGTGGTCCTTCACTCCGCAGGCTTCATCACTTGCTTCTCCGTGGCTGGTTCTAGCACCGGGGCGCTCTGTTCTGTCGGACCTACTATGAGCCCGTGTGTCCTGACTGGGTGCTGCCCTGCGTGCTGCTGTACTGGTGTCCCAGTTAAAGGTGGCTTTCCAGTCTGACTTTGCCTTTCCTCCGATGTTCTCACTGGTCTCTCTGAGACTGGCTTTCAGGGACTCTCTGCCGGCACCTGCTAATCTTTGCTGGTCACTCTTTGCACTCTTCACACACATTTCATCTTCTGTTTT